GAAAGGACGAAACGTTGTGATAAATATGGCAACAAAGATGAGGACAATAGTCTGAATAATGTAAATGGTGTACATAATACCTCATCTCAGAAATATGGACAAATACTGAAGGGCCGAAACGTTGTAATATATATATGGCGACAAAGATGAGGGCAATAGTCCGAATAATGTAAATAGTGTACATAATACCTCATCTCAGAAATATAGACAGATACTGAAGGGCTGAAACGTTGTAATAAATATGGCGACAAAGATGAGGACAATAGTCTGAACAATGTAAATAGAGAACATTCTGTCCTTAAGGACACATGGCACAGTGAATAAAGGTGTTGGTTAGATCCAGTGATATGATCCAAAGAGTTGTGAGTTCAATACCTGGTTAAGGCAGTGGAGAACTTGGAGAGGTGAATTAACAGGAGATAACTGATAACTGACGTCCATTAGACATGGCAGGTGGAACTAGAACAGTCTACCCCAACGAGCGAAATAAAGGGTTCAATTCGACATTCCACCTACCTGAAGAAGGCCGGAGAGTACAACGGCCGAAACGTTGTGATAAATATGGCAACAAAGATGAGGACGATAGTCCGAATAATGTAAATTGAGAACATTTTGTCTTTGTGACACATAGCACAGTGAATAAAGGCGTTAGCTAGATCCAGTGACAGGACCCAAAGAGTTGTTAGTTCAATACCTGGTTAAGGCAGTGGAGAACTTGGTGAATTAACAGGAGGTAACTGATAACTGACATGCATTAGACATGGCATGTGGAACTAGAACAGTCTACCCCAGTGAGAGAAATAAAGGGTCCAGATCGACATTCCAACTACCGGAAGAAGCCGGAGCGTACAACGGCCGAAACGTTGTGATAAATATGGCAACAAAGATGAGGACAATAGTCCAAATAATGTAAATGGTGAACGTTTTTGAACATGTTAGATAATTTGTTAATCATAACAAACAATGTTGTTTTGATGTGACAATACTCTTTTTAATCGAATTCACCCCCAAGTAAAGTCACCGAGACGCAATTGGTTACTGGGCTTGGAAGAGTTAGAAACTGGAACATTGCTAAGGAGAGAGGACAGAAGAAAAGCAATCAGGAGGACAGTTGATAGCGACTGATATTGCTTTTAGATTTTTGAAGATTAAAGTTGGCTAGGAATGCATGTAGCAGCAAGTGAGTTCCACAAGCGAGAAGTGCAAGAAAAGAAACTGTTATCATAGAATTTATGGTTACATCTCGCCAGCTCAACTGTAAATTGGTGAGAACTCCTCGCCAGTCTAGTACTGCGCTTAAATTCAAACAATCTAGGCAACAGAGCGAAGAGCTCATCCGAATAATTATCATGAAAGTATTTATAGAAAAGGCAAAGGTAAGCAAACTTACGGCGGTAGGGACGCAAATATCCAGGTACGCAATTTTCAGTGACGCAGATGTCCAGGGACGCAAATGTCCAGGGACGCAATTTTCCGTGACGCAAATGTCCAGGTACGCAATTTTCCTGGACGCAAATATCCAGGTACGCAATTTTTCGTGACGCAGATGTCCAGGGACACAATTTTCCGTGGCGCAAATGTCCAGGTACCAAAGTTGTTGGAGCTGAGATGCCAGGTCAGGACCAATAGTATTGCTGATTTTTAATTAAAAATTTTCTTAAACTATTGTAATTAATTTTTTTCAATAAGAGTTAAATAAAAAAGGCATTAATTTTGTTGTACCCTGTATTTTAAAAAATTATTGCCAGCAACTGGATGAAAATTCACATTCAGTTATGCAAACTACTACCGGCAATGGTTAATCGATGAAGATCAATTCTGATCGATGACAATTCACGTCTACGTGTTGCCTGGATAAAACTGCAGAGGCTTACCGATTAGGGATACGAGATTTTGCAACATCCATCATATTCCCCTGATCTATATATCTGGTGAACGAACATTTGCACCCCGGAAAATTGCGTATCTAGACATTTGCGTCCCTGGACATCTGCGTCACGAAAAATTGCGTACCTGGATATTTGCGTCCAGGAAAATTGCGTACCTGGACATTTGCGTCACGGAAAATTGCGTTCCTGCACATTTGCGTCCCGGAAAATTGCGTCCCTGCATATTTGCGCCCCGGAAAATTGCGTAAACGGACATTTGCGTCCAGGAAAATTGCGTACCTGGACATTTGCGTCCCTGGACATCTGCGTCACGAAAAATTGTGTACCTGGACATTTGCGTCCAGGAAATTTGCTCACCTGGCCATTTGCGTCACGGAAAATTGCGTACCTGGAAATCTGCGTCACGGAAAACTGCGTCCCTGGACATTTGCGTCCTTAGACAAATGCATCCCTGGATATTTGCGTACCTCTGATAATTTGTTAAAGTTACCATAGAGTTGATAATTGCAAACCGACTTTTAATTATTCAAAACAAACAAAAAGGTAACTTACATTATTTACATTATTCGGACTATTATTCTCATCTTCATTGCCAAATTCACATGTTTCGACCGTCCTACACTCCGGCCATCTTCAGGTGATTGGAATTTCGTAGCGAACCCTTTATTTCGTTCACTGGGGTAGACTGTTCTAGTTCCACGTGCCATGCCTCTTCTGGATGTCTCAGTTATTTTCCTTTAATTCAACTCTCGAAGTTTTGGTTTACCACTGCTGTAGGAGTTGGTTAGATCCAGTGACTAGACCAGTTAAAGACAAACATAAGAAATGACTAAAGGGAAGACAGGAATAAGCATCAATTATTAGAAAACATAAAGCATGGTTGTTAGCAAAAGGGGCAAGGCAAAATGAAAATTACAAATTGGAGATATCAAAATCAATATAGTGCAACAATTTATATATATGGAAAATGTTTTAATAAAGGATTTTGATGTTAAGATGAAATTCATTAAGGAAGGTGTCGTAGTTTTTTCTAAACCAAATACTTTCGATCTTTTTGAAGATCATCTTCAGCGGTAAATTTTGGCAAAAACATCCATTAAAATAATGGATATTATTTTTTAAAAAAAACTATAAGAGAGCGAGTTTTTTTCCTTTTTTTTTCCTTTTTTTTTTTTAAAAATCCACATCACACCAGATTTTATCGCAGTTACAATAAGATTGCCTTTGTAATTTTTTCCCGTCATCATTTTTCAGAATCCAATTTTCCAAAGAGCAGAATATTTTATAAGTATCCCTTTCCATTCTCATCACGTGGTCGCCTATTTTTTAGCTGAGTATTTTTTTAGCACCGGGTTCGAATTCCAGTCAAATCCATTACATTCACTTACATGCTAATACCCTTGGGAAAGGTACGAATCCTACCCCTCTTCCCCCAGCTATGGTTAAATAGCAGGACAGACTGGGTTCTATAGCTTTAGAAGGCAACTGGTCTACCGCAAAAAGAAATGGCAACCTATTTCGGGAAAAAATCTGCCTCGTCAGTTATGTATCGAAAGATACATGATCGCCTAAGCGTGTATCACGCATGGCACATAACTGACTGACCCTTGAGAAAGGTATGAATCCTCTTCTTCTCCCCACCCCCAGGTATGGGTAAATAGCAGGACAGATTGGGTTCTATAGCCTTGGATGGCAACTAATCTTTGGAAGGCACCTACCGCAGAAAGAAATGGCAACCTATTGCGGGAAAAAATCTGCCTCGTCAGTCATGTATCGAAAGATACATGATCGCCTAAGCGTGTGGGGAGAAGAGGAGGATTCATATATTTCCCAATCGTATTCACGTAAGTGAATGTAATGGATTCAACTGGAATTCGAACTCGGTTCTCCGATTCCTCAATCCGAGCCGCTATCCATTACTCCTTTTTCCCGCAGTAAGTTGCCATTTCTTTCTGCGGTAGACCAGTTTCCATCCAAGGCTATAGAACCCAGTCTGTCTTGCTATTTACCCATAGTTGGAAGAAGAGGATTCATATCTTTCCCAAAGGTATTAGCACGTAAGTGAATGTAATGGATTCGACTGGAATTTGAACTCGGCTCTCTGATTCCTCAATCCGAGCCGCTATCCATTACTCCGCTGTGTCTCCTACCAATAGTAGGACTTCTAATTCTTTTAGGACTGCTTCCCTGTAAAGGTTGAATAAGTCTGGTGAGAAGACACAACCTTGTCTTGTACCCCTTTCTATTTTATGCATTTACTGAATTCATTTTCTATCCATAAACAGGCGGTTTACTGCTAGTATAAGTTCTAGATTATTCTAATATTTTTTCATAAATAAATCAAGTTTGCCACGAGAATCAAGCCAATGCCACTAGAAAAGTAATCCTTTTTATTTCATGGAGCAGACTGGAATCTGCCACATTAATATTGGTTATATGTTCGAAAGAGCAAGATAAAGAAGAAATTTATGGTATGTCTTTGGCTTCCATTTATAATCCGCTAAATATGTGTTCTCTAACAACTGGCACACTGATAATGATTAACATTATATATATATATATATATATATATATATATATATATATATATATTGTCGTCCACAGATCTTCAGTGCGGCTAGACGTCCGATTGCTTTGTTAGACATTTTCATGACGGTCGTATTCGAGTATAGAATCCAGAGGTTGGCAGTGAATATTTCGGAGACAGTAGGAAAGCGTAGTTCAGGTTAGCAGTGGATATCGCAGCAAAGTAGCAGAGCGTAGTTCTTCCGTCTGTCATGTTCGCCGGACAAGTTGCCTCTGGTCATCCAGGTAGAAAAACAAAGATGGCCGCCTTTATACACGACGGATCCAGTGTTCTGCGGCTCCTGATTGGTTAATCTTCTATTGGTAGACTATAAAGGGAATTAAGTCACTTTGACTCGCTCACTAGTTACATATAATATACACAAAAAAATGTAACATGCTTCAAGCCAGGATTTGGTATCAGACAGAGATTCTGCCCCTAGGCTATCGTCGCACTGCAGAGAGGAAGGGAAATTTTAAGGTTTTCTATGCGAAATACGTCAGTGACACAGAGAGCTCAATTCAATTCGGTTGAAGAGCAATGCGTTAATAGCGGTATGAGACACTGTTTTTAAAATTGCCCTTTTCTCAAGAGAGTTTAACCGTATATATCAATAGTCAAGAAAAAACACAACGCATGCGGTCTGATGATTGCGTTTAGCATGAAACAGTCTGTCGCCTCTGAGTGTTGACTTCAGTGTCCATATATATATATATATATATATATATATATATATATATATGATATTATTTGATAATTCGTATGGATAATTACACATAGGATATAAATCCAAAGAGAACTCAATGTAAGAACAGAGCAAATGACAATGATGAAAGCGGAGACTTAAGAAATCCATGGTAATATTGTATTTAAAAATATTACCATGGATTTCTTAAGTCTCCGCTTTCATCATCATTTTCGTTAAATCGCATCGAGTTCTCTCAGTCACTGGCGTGTTTATCTAAAAATAAATATGCTTAAATTCACCTTCATCCCTGGCGTGCGCCAACGGCTTAGTGATAGAATCTCCAACTTACGCCAATTCAGTCAGGTTTTCATCCTAGCTAGAGGCAACGAGACGTGTAGCCACATTGATGAGCTGTGATACAGAGAAACAGTCTGTCTTTTTTTGACAATATATATATATATATATATATATATATATATATATATATATATATATATATATATATGTGTGTGTATACCAAACTATACCAAATAATAAAATCTCATCACTTGAGGACTATCAACAGCAGCAACAACTAAAATGGATTGTACATATAAATTCGGTTTTTGTATCTTCATATTTTTTTACTTGATTTTTCTTTCTGTTTTTTTTTTTTTAAATTAATAAATTTAGTTGAGGAGAAAAGGAAATTGAACAAAGAGTAGGCACCCTAAATTTCTATCCACCGTCCCCACCCAAAAAAAACCTGAAAATACAAGTCATTTTATTAAATAACCTCGTCAGATCGAAACTTTCATATGGACATCATGCATGGCTCCAAACCCGTTCAGAAATATCTAAACCGTCAGTTGTATGCAACCGCTTTCTAAGATCAATGGTGAAAAATGGCATTGGGTGAGTGAAGCCTTAGTAAATGCCAAACACTTCAAATATCGCCCCGAATGGATCAATTCTAACAAATTTAGAATAGGAGATAAAGAAATTGAACATAGAATAAAATGTGCTAGAGGTAGTTCCGTCCAACACCAGTTTACCTGAAAACTTGAGCCATATTCATAATTAATCTCGTCAGATCGAGATTTTCATCTGAATGTGATGCATGGCGCCAAACCTGTTCAGAAATAACTAAACTGTCAGTTGTATACAACAGCTTTCTAAGATCAATGTTTAAAAAGGGATTTGAGCGAGTAAAGCCTGAGTGTCTTGGCAAATATCACCTTCTTTGAACATTGTGGACTGGCGCTATAGAATCACAAATAACTATACTAGATAAAAACAGCATCACTTGAAGACTTTGAACAGCAGCATTAACTAAAATGCATAACATATGTAATTCGAATAGAAAAATAATGACATAATCAAGACATTGACAATCCACACTATTTCAAACAAAATGTTAGGAAATAAACCGTCCATCAATAATGGAATGAACCCTAAAAGCTACTGAACTTGAGAAACCTGTTTTCCTAAAAAGTTCTTTTGAGAGAAAGATTTTATAAATTTCAAACAACATCACTACTTACTGCTCGGTCAATGAATCCCAAATGTTTCCTTATAGGGAAACGACTAATATCATTACTACAGATTAAGATTGGTTGTTTGATTTTTTTTTTTTTTTGGAAGATTGGCGCAACCTTCTTAAATTAACCTTACTAAATGGGCTCACAATATGTTATTATTTATTTGAGCGAAATAAAGGGTTAAGTTCGACATTCCAACCATCAGAAGAAGGCCGGAGCGTACAACGGCCGAAACATTGTGATAAATATGGCGACAAAGATAAGGACAGTAGGTCGAATAATGTAAGTAGTGTACATAATACCTCATCTCAGAAATATAGACAGATACTGAACGGCCAAAACGTTGTAATAAATATGGCGACAAAGATGAGGACAATAGTCCGAATAATGTAAATAGTGTACATAATACCTCATCTCAGAAATATAGACAGATACTGAAAGGCCGAAACGTTGTAATAAATATGGGGACAAAGATGAGGAGAATAGTCCGAATAATGTAAATAGTGTACATAATACCTCATCTCAGAAATATAGACAGATACTGAAAGGCCGAAACGTTGTAATAAATATGGTGACAAAGATGAGGACAATAGTCCGAACAATGTAAATAGTGTACATAATACCTCATCTCAGAAATATAGACAGATACTGAAAGGCCGAAACGTTGTAATAAATATGGCGACAAAGATGAGAACAATAGTCCGAATAATGTAAATAGTGTGCATAATACCTCATCTCAGAAATATAGACAGATACTGAAAGGCCGAAACGTTGTAATAAATATGGCGACAAAGATGAGAACAATAGTCCGAATAATGTAAATAGTGTGCATAATACCTCATCTCAGAAATATAGACAGATACTGAAAGGCCGAAACGTTGTAATAAATATGGCGACAAAGATGAGAACAATAGTCCGAATAATGTAAATAGTGTACATAATACCTCATCTCAGAAATATAGACAAATACTGAAAGGCCGAAACGTTGTAATAAATATGGCGACAAAGATGAGGACAATAGTCTGAATAATGTAAATAGTGTGCATAATACCTCATCTCAGAAATATAGACAGATACTGAAAGGCCGAAACGTTGTAATAAATATGGTGACAAAGATGAGGACAATAGTCCGAACAATGTAAATAGTGTACATAATACCTCATCTCAGAAATATAGACAGATACTGAAAGGCCGAAACGTTGTAATAAATATGGCGACAAAGATGAGAACAATAGTCCGAATAATGTAAATAGTGTGCATAATACCTCATCTCAGAAATATAGACAGATACTGAAAGGCCGAAACGTTGTAATAAATATGGCGACAAAGATGAGAACAATAGTCCGAATAATGTAAATAGTGTACATAATACCTCATCTCAGAAATATAGACAAATACTGAAAGGCCGAAACGTTGTAATAAATATGGCGACAAAGATGAGGACAATAGTCTGAATAATGTAAATAGTGTGCATAATACCTCATCTCAGAAATATAGACAGATATTGTTATATTTGAGATGCAGAAGTGTGAAGGATAGGATAATAAAAAAAAGTAGAAAATGTAGTTAAGCCACGTCGAATCTGAACACTTCTAAGTTGGGGTACTCAAAAACCCCTGATACTGTGACACTGTGTTTTTATAAGCATAGTAAATAACGAGAGAGATACGGAAACAGACAACAGAAGAGAGACAAGATATGAAAGAAGGGAGATTAGGCAGTAAGGATGAATAGAGAGTAAGAAAGAAGTCTGAGAAAAAGGAGTAGAAAGTAGAGGAGGAGGAAGGTGGAAGAAAAAATAAAAAATAAAAGAAAGAAATGACAGAACGAAAGAGAAAGGTGGTGGGGGGATAAAAAGGCGAAGAGGAAAGACAGACATGGGAAGGCGGGGGATAAGTGCTAGAAGCGAAGTAGAAAAAGATGGTTGAAAACGAGAATAGACGTTAAGAGAAAGAAAGGAAATGAAGAGTAGCAGACGACAAGTGAAAATAAAAACATGGCGAATGCTGGGTGAAAGAAAAGAGAAATGAGCAATAATAGGCTATGAAAGCGGAGAGAAGGAAAGGAAACAATAGAATTTTAATAAAAAGATGATGATACGATAAAAAAGAAAGAAAGACGGAACGATGGAAGCACAACAAAGAACTGGCGCAAAAATAACAAAAAAAAATTGAACTTTTATTGTAAAACAGAAAAGTGAAAGAAAAATCTTCTAGAAGGTGGAAAAAAAATTAAATTACTACGACGGCTTTCTCAGCCATTCTCTACATCCGCCATTTTGTTTTTTTTTTTCTTAAAAGCTGTCCTGACCCAAACAAAAACAGCATCCCAACCCGACTCTGACCAAAGCATTTTTTTTCAAAGGGAGCGATCCTATCCAACAATATTCAGTTGGTAAAAATACGATGAAAGTTTTGGAAAAAAGAAAAGAAGAAAAAAAGCCATATAGGAGCGTCTGGTAAAAAGTCAACGCAAAATATAGAACGACTTTGTCTGAGAGAAGCTGTGCTAAGCGATTGCTAATTCTCATCGGAGTGGAGTCAACACTTTGGGTCAACACTTCTCGGCAAATCCTGTTTGGCACCTATAAATAAAGTCGTCCCACAAACAAACACGTGCAGGTCAGGAGTTGACAATGGAATCTTTTATTTCAAAGTTGGACATTTTTGTGTTTCCTATATTTTTTTCTTTAATAGGATTAACAGAGTTCTTTTCTCTTTAGCTCGAATGAACAAAAGAAAAGTTGATTATATCTTTTATCAAATTAATGCTGTCGCTTTTCAAGGAGAGGCTTAACTTTCTGTTCATTTTTTTGCAACAAATTCTTAAAACATCTTTATCGAAAAATCAGTGCGAAATTATTATTATTTAACAATGAATTATTAATTTTTGACTAGTATTTCTTTCATTTTAATTGCAGTTGCTTTTCATCGCAACAACACGGAAGGCAATCTATAGCAATAAGCATTAATATTATTTTGAATTATACTTTTAGATGAAGCTTTTTCAGCATTTATTTTTTAACTAATTATTTCACCTTAATTTCAATCGCTTTTTTAGTCAGTCTTCAAACATTAGTGGTAATATTAACTTGATTTTTTTTAGTCGATCAAACATTGCCAGGCATTGTTAATTTTTAATTATTATTTCTTTCATCTTAATTTCAATTTATTGCACCGGAAACGAAAGACCGTTCCCACTGAAAAAATTTAAAAAGACAATCAGGTCACGCGAGACTTTGATCAAATTATCAACAATCGTCTGATCCATACTTTGCCACCTCATTAGCAATGTTTCTTTAAGGGTTGCCACTGACGTGATTTTGGTTGCACGTTCAACTTTTCGGTAAGGTGCTCCCAAACGTGCTCTTTTGGATTCATGTCAGGATTTTGGGCTACCCATAGAGTGACTTGATTCCTTGCGATTCCTTCCAGGCCTTTGTTACTTTTCTCGTATGATATGACGCTCCATCTTCTTGAAAAAAGTAGACATTCCTGTCAATCTGATTGGTTTCAAATAGTGAGAGTAGTTCTTTCTCTAATATTTGACAGTATTTGGGACCATTCAACCACTCGTCAACAAGAATCAGCTCAGATTTCCATCCAAACCAGACAGCGCCCTACACCATTACTTCAATCCCTCCATGTTTCACGGTTGTGTGCAGACATTTAGCGTTCCAAGGCTCATTCTGATTTCTCCAAACATAAACCTGTCTTGAATTCGAATATTGGCAGAATTTACTTTCATCTGACCAAATTACAGACTGCCAAAATTCATAATCTTTGCTCTCGATTTCTCTCGCCCCGTCCATACGAAGGATCCTGTTAATCTCTGAAATCAAGGCTTTCTTTCTTGCAACTCTTTTTTTGATAGCCTAGTTCTTTCAGAGTCTTTCTCACCGCATATGGCGATATTTCCATACCGTTGGCGACATTTTTGACGCTCTGACGACGGTTTCTGATGACTTCCTTCTTCAGCGCCCTTTTCGTTCCCTCAGACATGAGGCTTGGTCTTCTTGAACGTTGTTCCACACGACAATGGCCTTCTTCATTAAATTTCTTGACAATATTATTAACCGTTTGATGATTAACCTGGAAAAACCTAACAATTTCTCTATTTGACTTACCACACTGATGCCATCCTATTATTTGCCCTTGTTAAAATTCACCAATTTCCTTACTTCCGCGAAATTTAATTGCAAGATATATGTCAACTATCGTTCATAGATGAGAGTAGATTGATACTAACAAGGTATTGTCCGAAAATAAGAAGGGACATTATTACACAAGCCAAAACTGCTGTAATTAAGGGTGGCTAAAAACTTAACATAGCTCACTGTTATGTGGATGAAATAAACGGTTTGTATAAGAAACTCCAAGCGCATGAGATCAGTAAAGATGACATTGGCAAATCTTCAGCCCTAATGAAGCTGCAAAGAGTGCTCAGTAGTCTGGTGCATGAATTCGCTAGTAAATCAAGAACAACAAAGTTATGGCTGACCTACACTGAGTATATTGACACGATCAAACTGTTTATTCAAGCCGAAAGAACTGGAGTTTGTAAGTTGCATCTTGTGGTGGTGAGACGGATGCTAAATCTCTTTGCAGCAACCGGACATTTCAGCTATGTAAAAAGTGCACGATTGTACCTACAATAGATGCTAGAAATGCTTGAAAAGCATCCCTCGCTGTATCAACAGTTCTCGGAGTACGGGTTTGCTTCTGTGCAACGCAATGAATGTTACTGGGTCGGCTTGTCATTTTTTCACGTTGAACATTGATATCGATCAGATAATTTTATCATATCTTCTGAGAATATCTTTTTGAAGATCAAAGTTGACCAGAAATTAAGAAGCCAGAAGAGAGTTCCACTAGAAAGAAGGTCACAGGAAAGTTAGGTTACTGCGGTAGCAAAGTGACTGAAGACAAGGTGCCAGGTCAGGACCATGAAAATTGTAGATTATTCTTTCTATTTTATCAAGAATCTCTAAATAAATAGTAGAAAGACAAAATTTACTCAGAGCTACTCCAGGTAATTGTGGAGGGCCATGATCGCCAAACTCCTGAAGAGACTTTGCATATAGAAGAAGAAAAGATCACTTCAAATTTATTGGACAAGTGATGATGAGATCCATAAAGAGCAGATGTGCGCTATCTAGGGGATGACGTTTTACGGCATCAGTGAGATTGATGTGGGTGTATAGCATGCACACCTGTGCTCAAGCGTATGATGCTATGCCAGAATTGCCCATAGATCCAACGAGCAACACGTAGAGCTGACTAGCGCACGTCGGAAGAGAGATCTTATTTATATGACTGGAGTCTTTCAGCACGACTCCTTTGACCGAAGCCTGCCAGAACTACGATCCGTATCATCTAATTTGACAGTATCTGATGGTGCTGGAAACAATTGTGATATCGTCGAGGTGATTGGTTACTCTATCCAGAAGAAGCTTGACAAAATGTATGTTTTAGAGAGCTCACTGAAATGAAGTTCTCAAGTACGTGCGCATGTTGAACTGGAAAAGTATTTAAAGATTGATATTTAAATTGTTCATGTTGTCCCTAACGCTTTGTTTTCAAGGGTTAGGGTTAGAAACAGGGGTTAGTTTTGGGGTCAAAGTAGTTCTGCTGGAAAGATGTGAAGATGTGACTCCATTCTTCAAGTTCAAACTAATTCAAAAGAATTATCAAATGAGAAAGACAAAGCCGTGCTGAAATATCATCTGACCACTGACGCATCTGAATCACAGCCACCAACTGACACAATGTGTGTTTTAAATGGAGGCGCTCTCCTCCACCGAGTGAAGTGGTTGCTCGGCTGACATACGGCGACATGGATTACACAGTACCTGTGCTACGTGAAGGCCAAGTAGGGGCCATCAAGCATCATTTTTTAGGCTTACAATGTAGGCCCGCCCATAAAAGACCATGAACTTCAGTGAACAGCAGCTTGAGCTTCTGCTAACATACAATTCGAAGATGGCTTGTAAGTTGCTGTTCATCAAGAGCTCTTCCTCTGAAACGGGAAGAACAAAGATCAATTTGTCAAGATGTTATGTCGTTCCTTGGAAGCAGCATTTTATCGGGTGGTCGAAAGTGAGGAAGACGCAGACATGGACATTGTTTCTGAAGCTCTCAAAATAACTACTGAAGAAAATTTAGTGACTGTAATAGGTGATGACAAGGTCATCTTTTCCTTTTCCAATGTCATAGCTGACATCTATATACTTTTCTTCATTCTCTAGTCATACCTTTGCACACAAGATCGTCAAGTCTTCTTCGAATAGGACCTATGTTTTACTGACTAGACTGTTAAAAATGAAGAGGCCAAAGTGAAGATAGAATTATGTTGTCAATTTGTCTCTATTAACAACATTTATAACCAGGTAAAATTTCATGTTCTTAGTATCAGCGGTTTTGTTGTCTGTTCTGCAAAATATACAGATATCACGTGACCATCTTGAAAACTCTACACAGTGAGAGAAAGGTCTGAAAGCAACATAAGGGTCGATCGGAAGTATTCTAAAATATTTGTCTGACTTACAACTCTCTCTTTCTATCTCTTCCTGTAGACTGTTTTGTCAAATTCAATTTGACAGACAAATTATTAGTTTGTAAATTGTGGCTGTTTGATCAGTATTTCTCTCACTAAGAGGCATATAGAGCTGGTAGGTCCTTGTTATATATTAGTTCTTGTTATCTACTGTTTCACTGCTATATATATATAATGATAGATTTCATGTTCTTAATATATATATATATATATATATATATATATATATATATTTTGTTGGATTGATATGAGTTTGTGACCCTGGGTTTCACGCTTTTGCGATCGTCAGACAAACTGATTAATTTTTTTTGCTATTTTTTGGGTTTATGTAGATTTTGTATTGGTGTTATTATGGAAGTGGGGGATCGTCGTCGTGATGTCACTTGTGATTAACGCATATATATATATATATATATATATATATATATATAAAGACATTTTTATTAATAATACGTTCTTTTTAAGGATACAAAAAAATAGTAAAATTGACTTTGCTAAACGAAACGCTCCTCTGTGGCTCAATCGATAAAAGCACGTTAGGCTATATGACGGTTCCGTATAGGATACAGGTTCGATTCCTGTCGGAGGACGCATATTTTCTATAAAAGTTTCTCAGACATTCAGGCCGGTAAATGTTGTTAATATTGTTTATTATAAACAGAGCATTTACTTAATTATTTGTATCTATAAGAAAAACATATAAACATAAAAAATGTCTTAAAATAATTGTCGGATTTTGTCCATTTCCTAATATATATATATATATATATATATATATATGGCTACTGATATATGCCAGCTGATAATGTTAAATACGGCTACTTTTTCCTTCAGGATCATTATTTCAGATCTGGTTTTCAAATTATCTCCCACAACAAAAATTCCCCAAGTGGTCCAAATGAGGACTTTTCAATTTTCAAAAGACTATAATCCTTGTAAAAATACCGTATTTAGCTTGGTAATATTTTTCCTGTTGGGTATTGATATCGACCAGACTATCAGTCCATAACTTTATCATATCATCTAAGAATATCTTTTTGAAGGTCAAAGTCGACCAGCAAGCAAGAAGCCGGTTGACAGTTCCACAAGGAAGAAGGTCACAGGACATATACGTTATGACGGTGATCAATATGACTGAAGCCGAGATGCCAGCCCAGGACCATAAAGATTGCAGATTATTCTTTTTATTTTACAAAATACAGGAAATTGGGGAGAGCCATGATCACCAAATTCCTGGAGGGGCATTGTATATAGAAAAAGAAAAGATCACTTCTAATTTTTCACTCTTTCCAATGTTTTCTTCTTATCTCCTTACAACTTTATCATATTTTCTAAGAATATCTTGTTGAAGATCAAAGTTGACCAGAAAGCAAGAAGCCGGAAGAGAGTTCCACAAGAAGGAAGTTCACAGAAAAGATACGTCACGGCGGTGATCAATATGACTGAAGTCGAGATGCCAGTTCAGGACCATGAAGATTGCAGATTATTCTATTTTATCAAGAATCTCTAAGTAAATAGTAGAAAAACAAAATTTAGTAAGAGCCAGAAAAGACAGGAAATTGTGGAGTTCCGCAAGCAACTAGTATACAGAGAAGCTGCATTACGGCGTTAGTCAATGTGACTAAAACAGAGATGCCAGGTCAGGACCAATAACAGATGGATTTATTTCTCTCCCAGTGGCATATTTATAAAGTACATGTAACAGACGCTGTTGGAATTTGAACTCGTCTCACCGGTTGTCCTTTTCCGCATTTATAATTGTTACACTACCCGCGTATCTCGAGTGTGCCGATAATGATGGGTAAAACTATAATTTCTCACGACCCAGAATTTGTTTCAGTTCTCTCTAAAAGCCTCGGTATTTTCTTAGATATTCATTTTCTTTCATTTTGTCTTCGGTTTTAATAGAGTCATCTTCAAACCCCAGGTCGCAAAAAATGGAAAAAGAAGTAAACCTTAAACTTCGTTATCAGTAACAGACTTCTCTTAATCATTTAATATAATATAGTTTTATATTTTTCAAATTTTTAAGACTTTTACTATTCATCAATCAATTCAGAAAAAAAATCGAACGTACTAATTTCGTTATAGAATTCGATTATCTGGTTTGACTCGTAAATAATCTCCTTTAAAATCAAGCAACGTAAACTTATTAGGAACAACTGAAAAATTACTTCAGGCTTTCGAACTGATCTGTTTATAGCCGCCAGACATCTATTTCTGGCCAGATTAATTCAATAATCCGCAAAAAAGCAAAAAGAAAAAAGAAAAAAGCTCCCCTTTTCCAGAAGAGAGAGAGAGAGAGAGAGAGAAGAGAGAGAGAGAGAGAGAGAGAGAGAACAAAAAAACAAAAAAAAACAGTATTTGCTAGTTTATCCCTGCGGTTAGAGCAATTAACAAGTCTTGCGGGTAAAAGTGTGAAAATCATCAATTTTGACGAGAAACGTGGGTCCCCTTAGAAAATGAAACCGGTCACTTATATTCAACGACAAAGAATAAACAATTCGTAAGTTTTACCTAATAATGTGCAAGTGATGCTGGCAATTTGGATATGCCAATGGAAACCAAAAAATGCTCCCATTCTGTTAGAAGTAAAAGTTTGAAATTTAAAAAGAAAAGAGAAAAAAAATCAAAACCTTTTTTTTACAGCCGCGTTCATTCTGTACAAGACTTGGGAGCAATTTAAGGTAGAGTGTTACAGAGTAGGAGGCTCAGTTTATGCGGATGTGTGTCGAAGATAACGGTTAACCCTAGACCTGAACAGGTTAAGATTGTAGTGATTGGGGAAACATCCTCTTGGGAGTCTGTTATAGAAGATATGCTGTTTGAAGTCGGTTATTTAACATAGATAAACCTTTAGAAGGAACCTGGAACCCAATCCTAAATAGGAAACAAGGGATAAACTTCTAGTCCTGTTCAAAAGACTGAGGAGGAGTGTGAACCGGACGATAGGCGACCCTATCTACTACGTTAGAGGTATAGAGTTGAAGTAGACTTTAGAAGGAACCGGGAACTCAATCCTAAATAGGAAACAAGAAATACAGAAAAAAAAAAAAATACATGGAGCAATCATATTATGCGAAAGGATTTAATTAATCTAGAAATTCCAATTTCTCTCAAAACAGTACTGAAGGACACATGGCAAGGGGATAAAGGCGTTGGTTACATCCAGTGACAGGACCCAAAGAGTGTGAGTTCAATACCCGGTTAAGGCAGTGGAGAACTTTCAGAGGGAAATTAACAGGAGATAACTGATAACTGACATCCATTAAACATGGCACGTGGAACTAGAACAGTCTACCCCAGTGAGCGAAATAAAGGGTTCAGTTCGACATTCCAACCACCTGAAGAAGGCCGGAGCGTACAACGGCCGAAACGTTGTAATAAATATGGCGACAAAGATAAGGACAATAGTCCGAATAATGCAAATAAAGTACTGAAGGAAAACAATAAAATGATCAGTGATTGTTCCCGAAGTAACAATAGAGTTCTTAACTGAACAAATGTGTATAAATAACAAAGAATGGTTTATTGTGTTATTAGAATCAATGACATGCACAATTTAGTTAGATGAATCAACAGTAAGCGGAACAATCAAAATTCCTGCAATCTCATTAATAGACTGAAACTCTTGGATATCTTTATAAATAAAGCGCAGTGTACGCGTGTCCGTCCGTCCGTTTTTCGATCGGCGAATCATAAACGTCCTATAGTAACAGGTAGTAACTACTGTAGTTAAACACTATTAAAAATTAAATAAATAACTCATTTAAAGTTAAATTTAAATAATGAACAGAGTGAAATTAAAAAAAAACAAACCCTGTTCTTTATTAATTTATTTTTTCGTGTGAATTGCAATTGATATCGTCTAACTGAACCGGAATTAAAACTTAAAACACAGTACATTGCTCATATGTTTTTTTTTCTTTTTCTAGCACGCTTACTGTGAGGTATTTGAAATATTACTTAGTTCGAGTTCCTTAAGAGTGACTTATGCGAATGGATCATAAAGACTGGTGATTTTAAAAGAAAAGAAAATTTGCGCGCAAAATAGCTGTAAGCAAAATACGGAGATCTGTTGCGTATACGAAGAAAAATTATGCCGAATTAAGGTGTCGAATAAAGAAAAAATACTTTTATTTTTTCTAAATTCTTATGACTTTTGTGCACATAAAACGCTGAGAGTAAAAAGCCGAAGGCCCAAAAGCACGCCGCATGGTTAGTTTAGCTATCAAATCTCTATATATACAAATATACCCGTCCCTAAATGCCCACGATTTTT